CCCGGCACATCCCGACCCTCCCGCCCGACCTTTTCCCCACTATCCCACCCGCCCATCCTGACCTTTCCCCTGACCCTATCCCACCCACACATCCCGACCTTTCCCCCCCTCTTGACCTTTCCCCATCCCTTTCCCACCCGCCCATGCAGACCTTTCCCCCTACCCTATCCCACGTGCCCATCCCGACCCTCCCGCCTGACCCTCCCTCTTGCCCGACTCTCCCGCTCGTCACTTCCCACTGGACACATTCCCCTGCCAGACACATCCCGACTGACCCTCGTACCCGACCCTCCCTCCTGACCCTCCTACCGAGAAGAAGAAGAAGAAGAAGAAGAAGAAGAAGAAGAAAAAGAAGAAGAAGAAGAAGAAGAAGAGGGAAGGAAGAAGAAGAGGGGAAGAATGACGATAACGACAAAGGGTGAGAAGAAGAAGAAGGTAAGAAGAAAAAGAAAGAGAAGAAGGAGAAGAAGGAAAGAAGAAAAGAAGAAGAAGAAGAAGAAAAAGGAAAGAAGAAAAAGAAGAAAAAGGAGAAGGAAAGAAGGAGGAAGTTTTGACGGAAGAGGAAAGAAGACAAGAGAATTTTAAAAAGAGACAAAATAACAATAAGATGAACAACAGAATGAATCATGCAGAGACTAGTCCGATTGGTCAGCAATCCAATCAACCTTCATGGGCACAAAAAGTTAGAGAATCGATGCAGAACAAGACTTTGAATATCAAGCGCCCATCGATTGGATCTTCAGATTCGTGGGAAGAGGAACTGAAAATCCCTCTTACGAATCTATCTTCGGGAAGGGTCTACTTTTTTATGCTCTGTCTACTCCCATCAGAACAACAAGTGATAGACCAAGGAGGTAGGAAGACACCTCAACGAGATGCAGTGTACAAACTGTACACCAAACATGGCAGTAACTGAATATTTTATGATGAAGCATCCTATAGGTCAGTTAATGATAAGATCAAGTTCATCTGTAAAATATTGGAATCGTTGAGGGAGGGACCGGAATGAGTGACATATTTTTTTCTAATCCAGCCAATTTCAC